TTCCTCAAATCCGTGAATCTCAAGAAACATGTGTCTGCGTCCGCAGCCAATTTGGTTTACAAACCATCCGGCCATTTTGATATCATCTTGCCGATATGCCACTCTCCAGCAGTCTGTCTCAGCAGCCCCTTCGCCGCAGCCAGCAGTGAAGAGGCGAGCGTCCCCTCTTACGGAATCTCCGGTCCGCAAGACCGATGGGGAAGATGATGAGTCATCCGACTATGTCATGGAGGAGATCAAGGACGAACAATCCGCACGATCCAATCTCCCAGAAGAAGATGACATAAATATGGAGCAGGCCGACTATGAGCGTGATTCCGACACCGAGGAAGAGAAGAATCCACCTGGCCTACCTTTTGAGGAACGACCGAAGTCAAAGGCTATGCCCACGCAGCCTTCAGTGCCTCCACTGAAGCTAACACCAAAGATCAAGGCGCAGCCCAAGAACGACCTGGACGAGGAGACCGAATTCGACAACTATCAGACCAACAAGGCAGATGGGCCACCATTGCCACTGCGACCGACCACCTCCTCCATCCCTTGACAGTTCGAGATGGATCACGGACGAGTATTCAAGGACTCGCATCATGCTCTTGAATCTATAGTATTAGCGCGAATCCACGAGGCTATGACACCGATGTCATCCTGCTGGTATGCCGCAATAGGCAGATCGACATGGGTCGGACAATTCACAAGACCAAATCCTAATATGCAAGCACTACTCCATCGAGGAGCACAGGGCAAAATCCTGTGGAGAATGGAGAGAATGAGCAGATTGTTTTCCGGATGCCTACGACATGATCCACGGGAAGAGAGCAAAAGAGACATGAAGCACGAGTTGAGATTCAACCTCGACGGATCCTGCGAGCTTTTCGAAGCATTGACTTCCATCAACCATGCGAAGAACAAACCAGGCATTTTGACGATGTTTCCGAGTTATGGGAAGTCCCGCTTTGAAATAGCATTTGTGTACAGAAGAAGAACAACATTGTTCCTAGGGAACGATGGATCGATTGTCTGACATCCAACACCGCTCATCGCGCACTCAGGCCAGATGGCAAGACATTCAGCAAGGATCCAGACATGGAGCTGTATGTGAGATGCGTGAGTGGTCATTCGCGGCGTGTCGAGATGGAATCCATCGGACGCCCGCTTTGGTCCCAGCAGCAGGAACACAGGAAGCCTGAGCCATCCTACGGCCTGCCATCCTCATCGTCTCACAAGAGCGCAGCCAGGTTACAGGATCCGACGACCTGCACCTCCATCCGTGGAACAGGGAAGAAAGCTTGATCCTTTCTCGAAGATTCCTGTCACGTTCATGTTCCATGCGACCTATGGAAATCAGTTGGAGAGCATCCTGGATCAGGGAATCAAGACAGGAGCGAGTTCAACCCCGCACGGAAGAACTCATGTTCACCTCGCCTGCATCGACGGCATCATCGTCAACGATGAACCATCCGAGGCAGCGCTGACTCATGTTCCTACAGGACGTGATGCACTAGTGATCCTTGCCTTTGTCAAGAACAATCCGTACGCCTTCCGACTCTCCGAGGAACGAACTGTACTGACAGAGCGTACCATCAACACCTCGGACATCATTGCAGCGTTTGGTGCAGAGGGTCAGATCCTGCAGTTCAGCTACCAGATCCTGAGGAAGCACTTCAGCAAGGAAGACAAAGAGAGCACGAGACCAAGATCACGGAGTTCGCTGAACACTTCTTCGCACACGTCAATGCCAACAAGACAACCAAGAACCAATCAGAGAAGGAGTCATGCATCGAGACCAGAAAGCGACGGCATTCCACGGATAAACATGAAGAAGAAGAAGAAGAAGAGAAAATGGAACCTACGGAAGGTCATCCTGGAGCTCCACAATCCGGACAATCTATCGCGATTCATCCAGAAATTCGCGGAAGTCACCTTGGACCGGGACATGACCAAGATCGGTGCAGCAGAAGAGCTCAAGACAATTCAGGAGAACTTCCGAGAGTTCATGGCAAGGTACAATGTCAACCCAAGGAATGTTCATCCAGATGTGAATGAAACTGAGCAGAGATCCTTGGCGCATGTGAATCCCGACACCAACTTCGATGAGGAAGAATTCTACTTCCATCACCAACACGAGAAGCCGACAAGGGAAGAGCGCAGGGCAGCACAGGACAAGTCAGGGTATCCAATCAGACTTCCAATTGGACTGAAAAGTTGAGGCATGATGATGATCTGGACCTTATCAAGTCATTCACGGACATCCTCGGATCCTTGATGCAGCCGACAGATGGCCCCTATGTTGATCACCTTGCGTAACATGAATTCACTTCATCCTTGACGCTCAACACGCTCACAATGAATCACGGAAACCTGACGAGGAATCCAAGGTTGGACAGCCGGGAAGTAAAACACATGTGGATGAAGGAGAGGCCACTCATCATGATGATGCTGCAGAACAGTGCCCACATCATTTACCTCAACGAGGCCGATGCCTATCCAGAAGATGAGAAATCCAAGGACGTCATCAAGCTGTTCATCAGGTTCAGCTACAAAGGGCATCGTTCTCAAATCCTGGTCAGCAAGACCAATAGCATGCTTTGTCCGCGGCAGAAAGCAAGCCAGAGTTGAGCCAATACTGGGGCACGACATTCGGAATGTTCAGATGCTACTTTGGAGTCGAGAAGGATTGCATTGATCCGGACTACGACATCCCCACATCCGACTGCTTGGCAACCACCGGACCGGACATGTTCGACGATCAGCAGAAGTACGTTTGATGGAGATTGCCAGCACGCACTAAATCCAAGGACATGGCAAGCACAGAGAGACCGTTGTCATCCACACAGAGTTCAACAACGAGATGCGCGGCAAACCTCCGAAATCAACAGAAACTCCATCCACATCCTTTGACAGTCGACACGTGACAAGGGCAAACCTCCCACTCGCAACCATTTGTGTGTTCCATGTTCATCCGAACATCACCCACGGCGCAGCAAGGGAAGATTTCCAATCCGAAATCATGCCCCTCGTCACAGAGTACCAATGCGATGCAACAAGTCCGCCAAAACCTACAGCAAGCTTCAAGATGTCTACAATCCGGACCAAGGCCTCATCAACCGCATCAGAAGACATGGAACTACAAAATGGCGACATCCTCTTCCATGAATGAAGTCAAGTGTCCGTCATAACCTCCACATGAAGACTGGATCCGGGTATGACGGAACATTTCCGGACTGTGTGATGACATTTGTGTTTGGATGGGGCAAGACTGACACTCAGCAGCAGTTCCGCAAGTCAGAGATTGAATATTGGACCGAAGCACAACTGACATCCATGCAGGACGACTTTGAGAAGGTCATCGCCGACTACCAGGTCTCATCCAATGAGCGCATCAAGCACATCACCAATGAAATGCTGATGCTGGGGCACAGTGATTCCGATTCACACAGCCCCTTGATGGTCTACATCCAAGCAAATCGGGAGAGAAACGACACTCGGACCAAGGAGTTCCTCAAGGGCAAGAAGCAGGAGACAGCCTGGAAGCCATGGAACCAGTAGATGGAAGCACTACAGCGATTTGACCTGGAGAGATTACGATTACGGCAGTCAGTCTGACAGCAGCTATCATTGCGACTGGCACCTTTGGCAACCATCCAGACCTCCTTTGGTCTTCATGATTTGCCAGGGCGAAGATTCCAGAAGCTCGATTGCGAGAGTTCACACGACAAGGTCGCAACGAATCACGACTAATTGATCCTCCTCGACGACAAGACTATTTTCAGTCAGAGATCAATAGTTTCACATCGACCCTGCATGTACAAAGCGCTTTGCATCATCTTTTGATACAGCTAGGTATCTCACATCAAGTGTACAAACCGTTTTTCAGTTGCCACCAAGACTTTTCATCCGCGCAGAAGAAGGATGAATCCAGTATTTCAATGGCTACGGCATATTTCAATGGCTGCGGCAGAAAAACAAAGGCCACGGCCAGAGGCCAAGAAGCCAAACACTACACAGTAATTCAGTGCTGGAGATCAAAGGAAATTTGTGTCTGTTTTGTGTTTGACTTATATCTTGATCTCCATGCAACATTTGGCTCAAGGCCCTTTTCTTGCACATAGTCTTTACAGACTGATGATGCATTGATAAAAGGCTTGCAGACCGCTTCGCAGGTATTACAGCAAACCACAATACCAAGGACATCCATTCTCTTGCAAAACCACATATACAATCCTCTACTACCACAAGGCATCGGCTCCCTACTGCGATAAGATAGCGCCGGCAGTGGGACTCAGGGGGGGTGGCTCGTGTGCGCGTGTGCGTGCGTGGGCAGTTGTGATTTCCTTCCAAACTTGCAGGCATCAGCAGAGCAGCTACCCCAAATTCCAAGCGTAAAAACTTATTCAAGCTTGAATCCCAAGCTGTAAGGGCCTGTGCCACTTTCACAGGTTCGTGAGCGAGCAAGCGAGGGCAAGCATCTACTTTTGTTTGCGCTAAGATCAGAGAATCCTAGAGGCATTCACAATGCTTCTAGACTGGCTGTAGTGGACCCAATCCTGATTTGTGCAGTGTAGTGAATGTGGGATCGGAGAGGTTACTTCACTGAGGTCAGCAAAAGGGAATGACAACGTTGTGACAACATGTGATGACGCCGCTGCGCTGATTCAACTTAGCAGCAACAATTTGACCTTGCTGCAGCGTTGCAGTTGCCCAAGCGACGCGCATCACGCATGTGTTTTGCATTTCTCATAGCGCACTATATATATATATATATATTTGTATTGAAAGGGCATTGCCTCATGCAGTGTCGCGCTTGGGTATAGTTGCAGCTAACCACAAGAATTATTGTTTACAGCTTGGTTGCGAGGTCGCGTTCAGCACGCGGAGTTTTTGGCGAGTCCGCTTTCAGTCTGATTCAGTTTCGCAACCGAACCCTTGGACAAGCATGGCCTTGTTTCCCTGGGCGATTTTTTGGGTTGGCCATGTTGGCCATCCACCCTTCCCGGCCCCAGGATCAGGATAACTCAGCGTCTGGAGAGAAAGCCGGAGGCAGCTGAACACGAGGGAGTGAGTCGCGACGGATGGTGAAAGCTGCCATTGAATCTATTTGACGAGTCATAAGTGCAGCTGCAACCATGCCAAACCATGCCAAACCATTGGGGGCTCGGCGGAAAGGTTTCAAGGCCAGCCCTTTTACTCTTGGCCAGGCTCAGCCGAAACTCTTGAAGAGAAAGGCATTCAATTGGTCTTGGACATGCGCACCAAAAAAGATTCAAGGCTCTTTGGGGCTCCGCCACCCTGGAAACACAGCCAAGTGGCATTCCTGTTTCACGAAAGCTGAAGCGTTTCGCTTGTACAGCGCAATCCCACCAGGACGCATGTTCATAGGCGGCGGAGGGAAGCAGTTGTGGATGCCTTCGGCAAACCAGCAGCCAGCGAAAGACGAAAGGCATGCCCACCGCGCGTCAGAAAAAGCTGGGTTGCGCAACCGCCGGGCAAAGTTCTTAAAGATTGGGGATGACAGACCTAAGAGGCCTGAAGGAATTTACATGTGCAAGCCTAGTTGTTTTGCCCACACATTGATCATGTGTTTACATGTCATCGTGCCAGGGTTCTTCTTCCAAGAATCAGGCGGGTCAACCGCCCGCTTCGCCCACGCCGCCGCATTTACTCAAGAAAATCGTACAGAGGCTGGCGAATGCGCCAATGAAGGGCCTGATGGCGCTTCCGCGTGAAGGGGGACAAAGGCGTGAAGAGCATTCTTCCTCCGGTGACCTGGCGAAAGCAGAGAAGGCATTGGCATGTGCGAATGCCCGTCACCATGTGGTCAAAAGGCACCAAATACAGTTGCGTGGAAGATTGTGCTTGGCCTAAATGAATTCGGTTTTTTCAAATTGTGCGCAAACCACTTCGGCCGCGACGCCTCACAGGACAAGTACGGATATGGGATCATTGGCACGGCAGCGTGCACTTTCGGGGGTTGACGGTGTTGATCTTTAGAAACTCGTTCTATTTTTGCATGTTTTCACACCTTGCTTGCGGAATGCTCTGCAGGCTTCGGGGGGTCGACCTTCGGAAACTCAGTGTTTGCATACGGTGGAGAGGGCGAGAGACAGAGCGAGAGAGATAAACAGAAAGTTCAAGAAAGGGCAAGAGGAAGAGAAAGACAAAGAGAAAGGGGAAAGGCAAGAGACAGAGAAATAGAAACACGAGTAAGGCAGGAAACGCGAGAGAGAGAGAGAGGGAAAGAAAAAGAGAGAGAGAGAGAGAGAGAGAGAGAGCGAGAGAGAGAAAGAGCAAGAGAAAACGGAAGAGGAAGAGGGAGAGACGAACAGAGAGACGAACAGAGAGGGAGGGAGGGAGGGAGGGAGGGAGGGAGGGAGGGAGGGAGGCAGGGAGGGAGGGAGGGAGGGAGGTCTCGGGGCAGATTCGGACTGTCAGTGCACTATCTGCGCTCGTTGGGCGACGTGAAAATCTCGGTGTTTTTCCGAAAGCTAGTGCCTTCGGGTGGCAATATTGCGGGCGCAAGAATGGGCCTGACCATCTCATTCCCCTGGAGGTCTGTTTGTCTGGGCTAGGCGATCTTTTGCGCGCGCGGGGCGGGCCGACCTTCAAAACTCATCATGTTTTTAGTTGTTCATCTCGGACAACTCTCGAAAGGTGGTTTTGGGCGGCGGACGTGGGGGTCAACCTCGAAAACTCGGTGTCTTTTGATATGTTCTTTTGCTGGCTGGAGAGAGAGAGCAAGAAGAAGGGAAAGAGGAAGAGAAGGAGAAACAGTAATAGAAAAGGCAGAGCCAGAGAAAGGGGAATGAAAAAGAGAAGACATGGAGGAAGAGAAAGCGAAAGAAAAGGAGAAAGATAGAAGGAACTACAGAGAGAAAGAGAGAAAAGACAAGAGAAAGACAAACGCCAGAGCAAGAGACAGATAAGAACAAGAGGAAGAGAAAAGAAAGGAGGAGGCAGAGAGCTAGAGAGAAAGAGAGAGGGAGAGAAAGAGAGAGGAGAAGAGAAAGAGAGAGGAGAAGAGAAGGAGGAAGAGGAGAGGTAGAGAAAGAGAGATAGATAATAAAAAGAGAAAGAACAACAGAGAGGAAAGAGGAAGAGGCAGAGGAACAGAAAGAGAAATAAAGTAAAGATAAAGAAGAAGAGAAAGGGAAAGAGACAGAACACGAGACAAATAACGAGGAATAAATGGGAAAGAAGAGACGGAGAAAAGACAAAAGGAAAAAAAAAGATAAGATGCGTACCTTCGAGCCTTCCGTCTGCTGGACTTTTAGTGGTACGACTGCAGCTGTTTGTTTGTTCCTTACACAGCCGAAATTGGAAGTCTGCAAATCACGCAAATGGTGGCAACGTTTGGGCGGTGGTGCTCAAAAGCTACTAAGGTTCTTCTTCCTCCGCGTTTCAAACTGTGCAACACACCCTGCAACAACAGTTGCTGGAGGAATCGAGTACGGACAACAGCGAAAACGACGGCAGCTTGGCAGCAACTGAGGCATGCCCGGGTCCTGTGAAAATTATTGATATCGAGTGGCAAGTGTCCATGGTTCCTCCTCGCTGAAGGCATCCAAGGTCCCACCTAGCTGCCGACAGAAGGCAAAAGCAGTCGCAAGCCCGAGGTTTGACCAACCTGAGCACAGCAGGGGCACGGGACGATTTGCAAGAGGAAGTTGAAAAGCCAACGTGCAGCATACAAATTTGCCTTGGTTGTTCGTTGGTGCGCTGTGTCACTGAGGCTCTGCCGGGGAGACGCCGTGCAAGGGGAGTGGGGAACATCCGAATGGCTCCGGCTCCTGTGATCCGTGCGTTTTCTATTGCTCGTCATTGGGCTGCAAGGACGGCGATGCCTGCAAATACTGCCACCATCCTTTGGAAGAGCGTCAGGCGGCACAGCGACCTCGGAAGCCATTGAGGGAGAAGCTGAAGGCCAGAATAGAGCAGCTTTTGCAGAACCGTCGGCCAGATGAGGTACAAGAAGAACTACAAGCGGAGGCTCGTAAAAGTCCCTATGCCAGGAAACTGCTGCAGGGCTACGTTCTCGGCTTAACCCATCCTGTGCCAAGGTCCAAGGAGAGCAAGTGTAGCAGCACAAAGGGCTCTCACATGCCAACAAGTGTAGAGCTCTAGTAAGATACTAGAGCTAGCTTTTGTGTATATTTTTGACGTTTTGTCAAGCTTCTTGAGGATATGGTTGATTCACAGACCGTAGACTCAGCGCGTGTGGCAAGATCCGCCACACCAGTGAGACCGGACCGGATAGCGGGGGCTTTGCCTTCGCTGTGAAGGCTTCCGGCCCAAGCGTGTCCGTCACGTGATTGTGCACGCTTGGTTTAAATGTACTATTTGGGGCCCAAGCCCCGATCCAGTGCAACCTACCATTGGCCAAATACGCTCATCAGTCAGCACGTGTCCAAGCGCTGTTGTTTTCCTTCATTGGCCATTGGACTTGAAATGTGCTTGAGTGTGCCCCGGAAATGGGTACTAATTTTTTAACCCGCTCAGCGTTGGAACGTATTTCAGGTGGGATTTTAGCGTGCAACCGCATCTCCGGCTAGGACAAGACAGAAGCTTGCTTCCAGATGCGCCCGGAGAATTCGCTGTTTTTTTGTTTGTTTTGCCCACGCCAGGCAGTTGATGCGGAATTGCAGGCATTGCAGTCGTGAGCCAGCATCAAAAACCTGCATGGTCAGGGCTGACCGCATTTGTTGAAGAGTTGCTGATGACATTTGATGTCAAAGGTCCGACTGAGGACTAGCTTAAGCTCTTACAAAGCCTTGTTGTGCCAGGCTGGCACGAACACAGCAGGCAAACTTTGATGCTGTGGCTGAACGATACAAATACATGTGCGGTCTCACCCCCTATTTGTGCTGCCTTCAAATGCATGCTCAAAATTGTGTTGGGAACAGTGCATAGTGCCGCACGTGTTCAAGCTGTTGGTTAGCCAAAAGAAGGAGCTGGGTGCCATAGCCACCGAGGGTGACCGCGAGTTTTCTGCCCGACCTCCACCGATCCCATCGTCGCAATTTTCACGAGGATCCGATGCAGGAATGAAAAACTCGCATCGTAACCTTGAAGTGAATCTTGCGCAAGGTTGGGCCATCGCTCATCCCTCCTGCTCGGCTCGAGAGGAGTTCTCTTTGCGCGAGTTCCGGGGGCATGTTGACGCCTCCGGCGGAGAGTGGAATCTTGCATGGCGAGGACTGCCGGACTTGGAATTTCCTTCGGGGCGTGTTCTGCGCAGAGAACAACCATCCCAGAACTGGAGCGGACAAGGGGAATCTGACGGTTGAGTTGAGACAAAGCATTGCGATGGCTGTAGAAGGTGTTGGCGCAATGCGATTTCTGCCCAGTGCTCTGAATGTCAAAGTGATGAAATTGATTCAGGCGAACGGCAAACGGTGGGAGTAACTATGACTCTCTTACGGTAGCCAAATGCCTTGTCATCTGAGTAGTGACTGCCTGCAGGGAGAAGGGCGATGTCGTAGGCCAGAGTGCAGTTGGCACGTTGCGTCACGAGCATCTCAAATTCATGGTTCCCGTTTGTGATCTAGCCAATGCCATGGGCACCAAGTTGGAGCTGTGGCCTACATGCAAAAAAGCTTGCTTTGGGAACAACCGCAACCCTGTGATCAAGTTGGCGAGGAAGACAGCGCCGAACGACTTTGCATGCACTGCATGCTGCGCGCTCAACGCAAGCACTGCGACGAGCTCCAAACTGAAACGCCCTTTGAGCAACTGGGTCAGATTCCGCTTAGATCAACAGTTGGCAAAACGTTTTGGTCGCAGGCTCCCAAGCACGCGACCAACGCGTTGCGTGTGGCCGCTCTCGGCTTGCTTTCTTCCATGAAAGCAAGCGAGCAAGCAGGCGAGCAATGGTTTTCGTTGCAATGGAAGCCTCAGTCCTGCCATTTGCTGGTGTCCCCCGCCGGAGGGGCGGGCTGGCATGAACCCCCTGCGTCAGCAGCGGCAAGGGTTTGGCATGCTTTTGCCCAAAACGCAGCTTTTGTGAATGTGTGTGTGCGTGTTTGTTTTGCGCCCTTCATCCTTCATTGCTGCCTTGGTTTGGTTATAGCCGGTGCGGTTGTATGTGCGGTTGCGCTCGCTGCCGGTTGCTTGTTCAACATAGCTTAAATAATATGTGTTGTAGCAAGTGTGTGTCACTGAGTCTACAAAACGAACAGAAACTAGAAAATAGATGAGCGCAGAC